TCTGCTTTATATGTGTTACTTAAGACTTCAAAACGCTGAAAAGTCCTGAAGATGTGCTGCTAGGAAGGACAAGTAAATTGAGATTTATTTATTTATGTATTCCAATTGATTCTAATACAACGTAATGGGTGCACTATGCCTGTTATTACTTTCGCTCTGGTTTCCTTGTGGTACATTTTACGCATCTGAAATTTTTGTGATTATTGTCGAAAGGCACGTGTTCGTACTGTTTAAAGAATACAGGCTAGGGGCATTCTCGTTTGCATTGTTTGATTCTGATTTTGGTGTGAATTTTACCATTGTAGGTTGCTCATGCAGTCTTGTTACGTTTGTATTGCAGTAGTGTTCTTGAGCATCTTTAGTCCTCTTTTTATTTTTTTAAACGTATATTTTTATAATTTAATTATCTTGCACTATGAAATTTACTAAGTATATTGTATTAGTTGTGTATACAACTTCCATTGATAAGAGGATTGTTATTATTTTTTTTATTTGTCTTTTAATACCACCCTGTCTTGTTTTGAACTTAGATATCACATCAGAATCCTGTAGAATTTATTATTTTTGTCGTTGTTGTTGTTGTTTGCTCTTAAATGCTTGTTAATGGACCGTAAGAGGTCTTATCATTAGTGCACTCCCGTGTAGTTTGATTGGTAGCGTCTGTTATACGTTCGCTACAGATTTTTTTTTACCGTCTTTTGTTTATTCATTTGTTGTTGAGAAGCATACTGGATTTTTTCGTTGGTGGAAACTCTCAACAACTTCATCCCTTGTTACAAGCCTCTTTGAGACTCTTTCTCTACTGAATTCATTTAAAAAAGTTTAAACTACATGGGAAATTTACTGTAAGCAAGAAAACTTCACATTTCAGATTTGTAAGCTGGTCGGACCGATATATTCAGAGTTGTTCAATTTCCCAGTAGGACTGCGTCGTCCCACTTTGGAAAAAATATATTTCTACTTTTGTGTACCTTCACTTATTCAGAACAAATGGCCAGTGCACAAACATCATCTGGCCTGATCGTTCCAGTAGTTCTGTGGGGCAAGAAGCCGCCTAAGAACCGTATAAGCTGCGTGCGGCCGCTTCCAAACGGGAAAACAATCATAACGGGTAATTTAAAGTAATTTATTCTGTCAGCGAGGCATTGCTGTGTGGTCAGTAGTTTTCAGTGAATTAAGTCTGGGGCATTTTTACTAATTTTTATAAAGATTTAGACTGCAGACTAACTTAATTATATATTATGGTAGTTTAATTTTTTTTCTACTCAGAAGGACAGTTATATTTGTTTGTCATTTATCAATTTCTACACTCCTCCAATTTTTCACCGTTCAAGACTACACGGGAGAAGATTATACTGCATTCCTATCTCAGGAAGGTTTTCAGCATTTGACCTTTTTTTGAACACCGATTGTTATAAATACTTTAAGTTTTTTAAAACTAAGTCTCTTATTGCAAGGGCAGAATATCCTAGTTTATTTTTAGTTTCTGGTTTTAGCAGCACTTTCAGCAAAACATTATATAAAAAAGGTATGAATATAGTAAAAATTTGAAGAGAAAGAGGTCTTTTAATAGTTTAGATTATAATTATTTTAGGAAAGAAGGTGAAGGACCTTTTCAAATTTAATTCGATATTTCAAATTTTTTGGCAGAGTTGTAATCATATATCAGCCAGTTATTTTTAGCCTTCTCTTGGCTTTTAAATTGTCCACTAATTCTGCGGGGAATTTCAAAAGCGCAGTTTAAGGTTCGGTAGATGGCGAAATTGTTTTGTGGGACAAAGCCGAGAATGGCAAGTTAATGGCGAGAATGATGTTGGTCGGTCAAGAATCTCGTATTAATTGTATAGCACCTACTACAGTTTCTTCAAAATCTACGTGAGTTTTGGTTGTAGATCTATCTTTATCAAAAGGTGCTTAGAATTGTTGGCGTGTCTGACGGTTTTTTTGAATTTTAGACGATTTGTTAGTGCATCAGCTGATAGGCTGCTTAGTTTATGGGATAGTGTTGATGGACGAAATATCGATAACGTAGTGTCCAATTATGTCCACTTGCAAATAACGCCTTATGTAAAATTTTTATCGCAAATTTTCTTAAATAATTATTTGGTTGAATGTGTTTTGAGTTTTATTTGGTTAGTTTTCCAAAGTATTCCAAAGAAATTTTCTAATTATGAAACGGGATTGCTTGTTTTTTTAAAATTTAATTCCAACTGTTTTAAGCGTTCAAAGAGTGGCCTAAACAAGATGGGAAGAAGTTTTCTTTTTTGTACAGGAGAATACTCGGAAATTGTTGTGATAGACCCACAAGACTTAAACGTTATTTTTACGCTAAGTTCACGTGTAGAACCCGATTGGATTTCCGCAATAGGGTTTATTCGTCCGACTGACAGTAATGGTAAGTGCTCATGCCGTTGAATTTTTATGGTTTTTTCTGTCATATCTATTTTTTTCAGATTCACTTATTGGAGTATCGGTTGGTGGTATGATGAAGGTGTGGAAGCTTACTGACATTGATAAGAAGGTGAGCAATATTAAGGCGAAATTCCTTATTTTTCACTAGTTGTTTGGATTTGGGTCTGAATTAATTGTTACTCTGTGTCTTTTTATTTTTCGGTTCGAACGTCATTTTAGCATTTATTCACTTATTAAAATGTTGTTTCAGGATGCTTCAAATGTGATTTACGAGGACGAATCAAAAAGTGTAAAAGCAAGTTTGGCGAACGCTATATCTTGGGATATTTCTAACCGTTATGCAATTCTAGTTGTTACAATGAATTCTTGGCAGGTATCTTTATCTTTCAGTGACACAGTTATCTGTGTTCTTTTGTAGTAGTCTTTTTTATGCTTAAATTTCTTTTAGGTTTTTGACCTTGTTGACATGAACAGATTGTTTATCCAGAAATCTCAAGAACCTCTTTGTGGCGGCGCGATGATTGATGCTTCTCGAGTTGCAATAGCCACCTCTAGTGGCTACATCCAACTTTTTCAGCTGCCCCGGAGGTGTTTCTTTTTTTACCTCAATTAATTAATATATATGCTTGTAAATCAATAATATTGTGTGGTTTTTAACTTTTTAAAAAGGTTTTAGCTTTTTATTCTTTTGTCACGAACAGATTTTTAAATAAATAACTAAATTGTTTAGTGGTCTAACTGGACCTGATATTGTGAAACAATATGGATCTCCAGCAGAAGACATAGCAGGGAAAAACGAACCGTTTGTGTATGCTATGCTTCGTGGAACTCCTTCCGATTTTGCGGTATTGTTTACAATTTCATTTACGGAGCCCTCGAATTTACCCTTTTTCCTTTAGTATGTTCATTTGTATATTTATTGTAGTGAAATGTGTAAGATGTAACTTTCGTAACTTATAAGAAACCGAATAATGAAATGAAAAAGAAAGGCGGGAGAAATTGTTGCTATTGTCTGAATTGTTTTTCATGTGTAGTGGCCGTCTCGGATGTTGTATTTTTTCAATAAGGAAGAAACGGCGAGCGGTAGCGTGTGTACTGCATATCGCGCTGACATTAGTGGCAATTTAAGCGTTTGGAACATACCAAAATTTAGTGACGACAAGGTTGCAAAACATGCGACTAAAGCACTTGTTTTTAAACCAGATGTGGAAACAAGTTTATCAGAGACTTGGTCATCTTTGGAAAGACCTCCTCATAATATTTTCGACACTCAAGTAATATAATTCAGTGGTCTTTGAGCCTTTAAGTTTTGTTCTATAGCCGTTTAGACCACGATTTATACTTTTTTGACAAAATTGTGCATTTTTGTTAGGAAGAGTGTCCTCTCACGGCTACGTTATATATAGGCGAACAGAGCCGTCTTGTTCTTGGTCGAAGAGACGGCGTTATACTTATTATGTATGCTTGTGAAGCTGTGTCTAAACAGCTTCTTGAAGTGGAATCTTCAGGTAAGAGTCAGGTGCTTCATTAGTCAGAAGATAAGGGTTCACTGTAAAATTGCAACAGTTTTCTTTTGAACGGTTTTGCTCATTTTAATTTTTAGGAGATGTAAGTTGTCGACGTTTGATGGGTCATAAAGCAGCTGTTACTTGTTTTTTGTATCCTCATGAGGAACATCCTCGTTATGACATGCAGTTTCTTATTTCTGGTTCCGCTGATTTCTCAGTTATTGTTTGGAACATAAATACTGGGACTCGCTTACATCGTTTTTGTGTCCAAGGAGGCCCTATTCTAAAATTGTTTGTGCCTCCAGCGAATTGTAATGTAAGACTTTTCTATTTTTACACTCTAAATAAAAGTGTTTGAAGTTACTTTTTTCAGGCGCGAGTTTTGCACACCGTTTGTTCTGTAGCTGGTGATAATTCAGCAGCACTTTTATCTCTTAAGGAGAACAAATGCATACTTCTTGCAAGCCGACAGTTGTTTCCAATTGTGGATGTTCGGTGGAGGCCTCTAGACGATTTTTTGCTTTTAAAGTGCGAAGATAATACTGTTTACGTTTGGCAAATTGACACAGGTTATTTCACTTCTAAATGTCATTTCCGGATCAGAATTTTCTGCTTAAATTAGCTTAAAATGAAATGAAGGTTTTTTCCTTCAGCAAGCTTGGAAAGAGTAGTAAAAGGTATTGTGTCCGAAGAGATTTTATTTGGTTGCGAAGAGCAACTTCGTGGCGACGAATGTAATGAAGAAGCTGGTGCGTCACAGGCAGTTCAGATGATTCGTGCTGTTCGATATCGAAATATTGATGCGGTACATTTTCTGATTTTTTTTAAATGAAAGTTCTGTTGGCTTTAACGTTCTTCTTCACTTTTATAATATTTTTACATTTTATATTTTTGCCGGTTGTTTTAATATTTGTTATTAATAGATTCGTAAAATTGCAATGGGCGAACGGGATAAAACGGTAGATGCTACCGAAAGAGAAATCGAAATGCCCTCTCCAATGTCCGTCACTCCACTTAACAGAACTCCTAATGCTCCTCATGTAGTTTTTTTCAACATCGATTCCCTTATAAGTATGTTTTCTGCTGAAACTTTTTCACTGCATAAAACTTCTGATCCACTCTTGTTTCTGATTTGGTTGATTTATTGTAGTTGGTCTTTTAACTAGCAGTATGGCTAGTCAAAGTGACGGAAGTGTAGAAAGTAAATCGCTTTCAACGATACTGCAAGGCAAACAGGGAGATAATCGATTACTGCAGCAACGCATTATGTGGTCTACAGAGACAAATTTATACATGGATGTTGCCATTCTCTGCATGAGTCTATTACATGCTTGGACCATGGATGACGATCTCGATCGTGTTTGTCAAAAAAAACTAAAGATGTCAAAACCAGCAGTTCCGTTAAGTTTCGGCTTAGTCTCTCGGCAAGGTTAGTATTCATTCATCTACTTCTTCATCTTTGTTTTGCAGAATGTGCGTTGTAAACGTATTCCATTGTAACATCTTTAGGCACACTGTCGTTGATGCTTCCTCGGCCAGTAGAAAAGGACGATAAAAAAGCCAAGAAGAACAGCTTTGAATTTTTTGCCTCTCGAATACATTGGTCTATAAGTGGCTCATTAACTACTATTCATCTGCTTACTGTAATATCCATTGCTAATACACTAATGTCTTTGCGAGGATCTTCACTAGAGTCTTCAAAAAAAAAGACTATAGCACGGTTTAGTTTTACTAGATTACTTAATTCTTTCTCTTTATAAATTAGCTTCGAAGTGTATTATGGAGTTTTAGAAAGTCATCTGTCAGATCGTCTGCTTCCGATATCGCTGGAACCGAGTCACAGCTCAAGCAGGGTTGGTCATTGCTGGCTGCACTACACTGCTGTCTCCTGCCGGATCATGTGAGATCGAAAGGCAGTTACTGTGCTCCTCGTATAGAACTATTAGCAAGAAGGTTTGTGAATTGGTTGGTCTGCAAATCATACCTAAATTTTTTGATTTTTTTTTTAGACCTGGGGTTGCTTTTCAGTTGATATTTTAACTGCGAGTTTTCCATTATTTTTCTTCTCTCAGGATCAAGTGTAACTATGAATAGCATTAACCGTTTAAAAATCCTTGAATCAATTTGAAAATGGAGCACTTATTTCTTTGAAAAGGTTTCTCTGTATTTTTTATACTTTTTGGTTAATTTTGTCATGAATTTTGTTAGATAACTGATATTGGTAGCCCATTCCATTGTGTCCCGTCAAACTTTCTTTCACTTTAAATATTTTTTGAATGGACTTCAAACATTTTTTTGTGTCCTCCTTTGTCTCATCATATTTAGTTTGGGTTTTTCATTGTTTTTACCTTGAAAGAGCACTCATTTTCATTAGCTAAATTTGGATTACTGTCGTTTAAGATTAAAAAAAATTCTTTTGCATTGTGAACAGTCAGTATATTTCGTATAGCTTAAAAAGTCGCTCAAAATGCCTTAGGAAAATGATTTTATTGATAGAGGGTCTTGATTTTTAGTCTTAATTGGAAATTCGACATGTGAAGCTCGATAGGATTCGATAGGATTGAAAGTCGGCCCGATGCATGATGATCCTATTTTGAAATCTAAGATTTTTACTTTTTTTTTATCTTTTTTTTGTAAAAGGCTACCATGAAAGATGCCATTAAAATTTTTAGACTTTTGTAATGCCCTTTTTTGAAATGTGAGTATTGGTCTGTTGTGTTGAATGGTTCAGTTTTTTTAATCTCTTTTAAATTCACTGAAGAGTGTTTTTAATGTTTATAGCGACGAAGTATGGATATTTTGGGGCGAAACTTTTTGACGCTGTATCTATGGTTTTTTGAGTGACATGTTTACATAGCTTTTTTTGGGCGGAAGGAGGGGCGGTTGTGAAAGTAAAAGATTATTCATGGAAACTTCAATATTGTCAGTCGGCTTTTTCTTGTTTTAAAAGTACCTTTTCGAAAATACTCGAGCAGTTGTGCGGCACCGGTAACTTTGAAATAATTTGGTGTAGTGTAGTTGTTTTTTGAAAAATTACATTTTTTTTACTAGAAAAAACGTAATTTTTATTTTCACTTGGTTTGGAAACCTGCGATATCAGAAAGAAGATACATAAAAAAAAATCAAACGATATATATTTTCCTCAGTAATATCTTCGCTGTATTGCTGTGAGTGTTGCTGAATTCTATCCACTGAAGAAGTAAAGTTAAAATCAAGTTAACAGCACAACGTGCAGTAAAGTGTTTTTTTTTGAGGAATTGCTGTTAAAAGTTATGTTAGATCCGCTGGTTTAGTAATGAGGCAAACACAGGAGAATGTTACATGAGAGTGTATATGTGAACAAATAATAGTGTTTGAAGTAAATTTTTCATGGTCTCAGTAGTAAATTATTCTGAATTAGGGATATGAGAAGAAAGTTGTATAGAAATTTTGTTTACAGGTTGAACACTATTTTTGTTTTTAGTTTCATCTTTGGATAAGTGTGATGAAGCGATTAGGCCTCCTTAATTCTTGTCATTTCTTTTACGGCTTATTTTTTAGTTTATTACTGTTGTTTGCATACTTCTTGCTACTTCGTTAGAGTTATGTTTTTTCTTATATTCTGATTGGTTTCATATGGGGGTTAAACTGGGCAGAATTTTTCAGAAAAAAAAGAGACTAGCTGTATATTTAGAACGCTCTCATATGTTAGTTTTCATATTTACTTGAAAATTGCCGTTCAGCTTCCAGATTGCAAAACTATTTGGTGGTTTTATTTCAAGCTAGTAAATTTAAAATTACTATAAAGAAAAGTGCTGCAGAAGGATGATTAATTTTAAATTGATATTATATCTTCGACGTTATTCTCGTTCACTTTCCTCAGCCTTTTATCTGGGAAATTAGCTCACGTCATTTTGTACTTTGGTAGCTGTTTGATAATGGTAAATCAATACATATTCATTCACACGCGTTTGGCAGTCCGAGGTGGCTCTGCATCGTTCGGTGCCTTCTACGCATATTGTTACCCAGTGGGTCTCGTTATTCTTGATCTTCCTTTTTAATTTAATGTTCACCTCTGAACCATTTTCAACTCTGGCCGTCTATGAAACTGCATCAACTTCCAGCAGTGGCGGTATATGCCCACAAGAAGTGAACGATAAAGTGAAAGCTAGCGGTGATGCAATTGCGACAATTGCAACCAGGTTTTCCCATGTAGTTATTCCTTTGGTTAGCATTGGCATTGTAACTAATCTTATTCTGTCGGTTCTGATTGTACGCCAGATGTGCTTTGGAGGATCGGTGAAACGTTATTTATTTTTATTGAGTAGGGCAGTAGTGGACTTTTATACTTGCCTCTCTGTCCTCATAGTGGTTGCTCACAGGAGGAAACATCCTTCTGGCAGTACTGTATTTAAAAATGGATCTAAAGTTTCTATTCCGTATGGGAGTTCGTACCTTAATGGATGTGTTCAGTTCAACTTCTGGTCATTGTGCATCACATACGCATTACTGTCATTGATAACTTTTATTGCCATTCGCTTCCCATTTTTTTACCGGTCTAGAATGAACGCTCGCTTGTGCATTATTATTTTACTGATCAGTATGATACTTGGAGGGTGTTATAGTGGGGTATCTGTTTATCTTGGCTCAACTCCCTTCATAACTTTGGAGTACGAAGATCCACAGTCACTCTCTTCCTACTCTCCTTTGGACAACAAAGCCAAAGCATTCAACGTGGCAATCGGCGACGTTGTTGTAATTCTCCTTCTTTGGATTTTTGTATTTGCGTTATATGTTGTCGTCCTTGTGTTACTGATTAAACTACGACGCCAGGACATGATCTACCGTACTTATTTGAAGCGTTCATTACGAATGTCTTTTAGCATTGTTTTATGGACAATTTTATGTGCTTTTATGGTGGCTGCAGTTATCTCGCCACCATTATGGAATTTAAGGAGCCGGGAGTTCAAAGATGATTCGTTAGAGAATCTTTGCATGGCTTTGGCTTCGGTAACTTCCTCATTGAAAGGACTTGTAGAAATCTCTACCGTTGCTGAATCAGTTTGGCTGGCTCGATTTGTGTTTGACCCATTTGTCTGCATCTGTATGGATGCAGATTTGCGGGAGTTTTGTTCTACTGGAATTAAAAGGATTGGTACATTTCATTATTCTGTTCAAAGGTCATCTTCATAATACAACAGCATTATTTTCCATTGCAGCATCTGACCATTAATTTCACGCCATGTATTGATACTTGTTGCTGATCTCATTGCTATATTTCGTCGAGCAAAATGAGTACAAGTGGTTTCTTTTTGATATATACTTTTTACTGTAAAATGCTTGGTCCTAATTCTCTCTGTTTTGAAGCCTACTGTATTTTTGACTTACTGCTCACTGCAACGATTTGGACAAGAAGGGTGCTTTTTCACTACTTACTGCTTCTTTTTTCCTCTAGTCAGTTACGAATCACTGCAATTTTGTCTATTCAAATCTGGTTTTCTTTAATTTATACGGCCGATGCTGGTGAGGAGGAAGGGACTTGCGTGTTTTTTGCTGTATGTGTTAACATTTCACAGAGTAGTTTTTTGTCTAAGGTGTAATAATATGCCTTTTAATGTCTTTAAGCCGCTTAAATGATTAGTATTTATCGTTTTTGCTTTTGTACGTACAACCGTTTCTATTGAGCGTTACTGCCATCTCCATGATAGACTTTTCTTCGCTTTTAATTATAAGATAGTATAATAAAACTAATCGATAAAACGTTTAGTGTTCTGCTGGCAATGCCGTAAAGTCGTAAAAAACATTCATAAAAATTCTGTTAAAGACTCCTTACCAAGCAATAGTGTTTTTTTTTTTGTAACGAAGTTTTGGGAGGTCACTTATTCTCACCAAGCCACGCCTAGTTTTGTAATCAAGGTTTATCAGAAGTTTAGCGGCAAGCTTGTTTAATACATCGTGGGCGAGAAATCCTTGAACGGAAGCCCCGTTACTAATTAAAGCAAATTTTTTGAACATATTGTGTTATCCTTATTCTTTTGTTCTACGTTGGATTCTCATTTTAGATGGCAGGACAGATGCCTAGAAATCAGAATGGCGGCACAGGCACTTCTAATGAGAGAATTAACTCGCTTAGGGCCAACGGGGCGCACGACTATGATAAAAAACTGGGCTCTTTTCTTGCCACTTTCTTTGGATCCAACTCTTTCAATATTTGGAGCTAGGACTTTGGCAGCTTCCACGAATGCGGGACCATCACCTTCGGCTGGAGCAAACTCTCAGCCGCCACCTGTGCCTCCTCGTGGAAAAAATATTCCTCTTCCTAACGCTGTTGTTCAAGGTTAATTTTTTGATGTCTTTGAGGAAGACTGAATTCCATAAGTGTGAACAGTGTATAAAGACTTGCAGATGACCCAACATCGGATTATACTATCGGGGTTCAACAAATCAGAAGGAATCAGGCTACTGCAATTATTTTGCTTGGCGTTGTTGCTGCTGAGTTTCCTGAAGAAATGAACAAGGTGTTTGTCTCCTCCTTTATTTTGAAGTATTTGGACATGGAATTGAATATTGCTGCCAATTTCAAAAAACCGTCATTGTTTTTTTTTCTACGCCTTCAGATGGAGCTTTCACGAACTACAGCTTTGTGTTTATTGGAATTACTGATTTCTCCGTCAACTGATCTGCTCCCTTTGGTCTCTCCACTACGTCGCGCTGCAATAGATCTAATAGGTCGAGGTTTTGCCGTGTACCAGCCTCATCTCGATATTAGTAAGGTTTTGCTAGGATTGTTGGATCTTGCTGCAAGCAACGAAAAGTATCCATCGTAAGTAGTTTGTTACCAGTCTTACACCGAACTGATTTCATTCCATAGTTCTAAATCACACTGTTATTGTTTATTACTCTGCAGCGTATTTAGCCTTTTTTGCATATATAGGTTTTTGAGGTGTTGATGGTTTTGCTTTCAGTGAAGACGGTCCAGTAGTTTCCCCAGCTGTAGATGCTTGTCGCACAGCGCGTCATGCTTTAGATTTGATCGCAACAATTCGACCTCCAGCACTCATTACTGCTCTTAGCAAAGAAGTTGATTCTTCTAATTTTTCTATTTTTAGCTACTTCTGACAAGAAAAGCTATGTTAATGTACTCAAAAAACTTTTTGAGAAAATGTTCAAGCATCCATGTTTCCCACTTCATTTTTTCATTGATTTAGGTCGCACGTTATAATAGT